TATATATATATATATATATATATATATATATATATATAATTTTTTTTCTGTGTGGGTTTTATTATTACTATTTATTCCATTTTCTACTTATTTCAAATCTGGTAGGGATAAACTTTAAACTCAATCTCACTGATATTGATAGGGTTTAGTTTCGTATGCATAATAGGTTCAACCTCAAACATGTTTTTGAGGTTTGGATGTTGATTTCTGTAACTACTGGTGAAATTATCAGAGAAATTTCATAAGTTCTTTGTTTACTGAATAATCAGCTCAAAAATTTTAGCAATTAAAATGTTGCATCAACTCATTTTTGTCCTTTTTTAGTATTGTACTATATTTTTTGATGCATTAAACTTTTTTACATGTTTGTTGGGCCCCTTAGGTTGAATGACTGTTGGATTGTTTTATATATGTATATATTTACCTGAAATCTTGACTTTTTAATGTTTCTAGATCTCGCTTTTAGTGCACACCTGCATATCAAATTTAAAAATTTAGGTAGAAATGATAATTCTAATTAAATTAAATTTAACTAGAAATATTAGAGTCGATATTTTGTCATTTTTGTAATATTTATTTAGTATAATTTTCAAATAAATATAAAAAAAATATTCCATTTCTTTGCAGCTCCAAGGGAATCTTGCCTATAAACAGCACATAAATTTTTAGAGTTTTTACTACCCATCCCAGTGTATAGGTTTATATTTGCTAAGAATATAATTATCCATGATTTGTTTGTCACATGGTTTTCTTTCTCTTTCACTGCCCCTGTGGCTTACCAGTAAGTCTGAGGGCTTATCACACTAAATTTTTGGTTTCAATACTTGCAGTGGGCACAGCACAGATGATGCATTGTGTAGTTTTTTGCTTACAAATAAACAACTTATCTTTTACTAATTTTATTACTATTGTTAGTTCTCATCATTTTATGATGTTACTGGATGTGGCTTGAACACTTAATAATGAAGCTCAGCATTAAAAATAGCTGTAGGCAATATTTAAATACAATTGGATAGAGCAGATTACTAACTATTTACATAAATGTAGAGTAAATAAGGTTATTTGTGCACTAACTTGTAATTTTGTGGGGAAGTTGCTTGCTACAGCAGTAGGGATGAACAAAAGAATCTAATGGGAAGTTTAGAAGACTTGGGAACAAACCACATATGTATGAAATTTGTATGGTTTCTCTATACATTCTTTTCAGCATATATGGTACCAACAAGTTTTCTCTCAGATTCTTACTTAAGAATAGCTTTGGTAAGGAATTTTTCAAATTTTCCCAATCTCACAGATAATTTGTTTGAATGGACATTGTTTCCAGTGAAACTTATGATTTAATCCAATATACTCGAAATTTTGTTGAACACTGTCCAATGTATGAAGGTTTTTTTTTTCTGAGGAACTTTTTATTAGTGAATAGTGTTACCATAGGTCATCAAAATTCTAAGTCACAAAATTTAGTAAATGAATGTTTAGTCAAAAAATCCTGGAAAATCAATTTTTTTTAATTAGGAGGTCTTGAAAAAGTCCTTAAGTCTATCTTCATTGTTCATGAAAACATTGTTTTTATTGATGACCTACCATTGTGTTTATCCCAGTTTCATGAAAATGATCTTTAAAAAAATATAACTCATAAAATGGGAAATATGCTGACTTGGCAACACTGGTCAGTATCAGGTTTTCAATTTTGTACTTCCATCTGAAAGTGATATTATATGACTATTGTTGGAATGACATTTTTAGTATAAAATAAGCTCAAGACTCATTTGATGGAAATTTAAAATCATAAGATTGTTGGGATTAAGAATATTGAATGTCTTAGAAATTTCCTAATTTTGTCATTAGCATAAATAAGCATGGCCAGGTGGTTAGGGCGCTCGACACGCAATCTGTGGGTCGGAGGTTCGAATCCCAGTCACACCAAACATGCTCGCCCTTTCAGCCGTGAGGGCGTTATAATGTGACGGTCAATCCCACTATTCGTTGGTAAGAGAGTAGCCCAAGAGTTGTCGGTGGGTGGTGATGACTAGCTGCCTTCCCTCTAGTCTTACACTGCAAAATTAAAGACGGCTAGCGCAGATAGCCCTCGTGTAGCTTTGCACGAAATCCATAACAAGCAAGCATAAATAAGTAAAAAATCATTAACATTTCTAGCTTAAGTTCTTCAGCACATTTCCTAAAATGTGTTAATAGAAAGAGTGAGCAAGAAATGCATATCTAGATTATAGCAATTTAATAGAATGAATGTCATAAACCTATCCACCATGCAAGAATCACAAAAATATCCTTTAAGAACATAACTAGCACCCTCATCATTCAGTAATTTGGATTATCATACATCACAGTTATTTATGCAAACTTATTCTATAAATGAGGACCCACAATGGTAATAAGACATGTTCCAGAACATTATATATTAAGGTTTAGTTAGACCTATAGCAGTGCAATCCACTTCACGAATATAATATTTTTGTTAGAATATGAATAATACATGCTACATTGCTAAGCAGGTCTTGTTGAGGCTAACCGACCAGATTGGAGTGAAGAATTGTTTTTTCAGGATGTTCCTGTTCTTTTAAAATTGTATATGGTGTCAGTTTTATTTCTTTTTTGAGACAAGTTTTATATTTTGTCAATATCATAATTTTTAGTAGAAATTTCTGAAATTGTAAACTAGAAGGTATCTTTAAATGTTTTAGTTTTAACATAAATTTTTTACCTCACTTATAATAAGATGCAATGGACCTTCTTAAATACTCTCTCTCCTGTGTAATGGGTGATGACACATGTGGTAAATTGGCAAATATTTACTATTTTATAAACTAAACATCTTATCATTTTTTTCCTTGTTACACTTTGGAGATTGATTCATCATAATGTGTATGATGCATTAGACTTTGTGATGTAAAGTATTTTGTCATTTGTTAAAACTTTCTAATGGCTTAGTTGTTTATTTGAAAAATAGCGTAATATTTGATATACATAATAAAGTACAGATGAATTATCAAAAGACTATAAAAACAAAATGAATTTTCACTTATTTTACATTTTCTTATGTTGTACAGTTGGTCTATTTATGACCCTGCAGTTTGCTTTCTAATAATGGGTGGCATTGCTTACTTGGCACATTTAGAAAAAGAAATCCAAACATGACTGTTATTTTAGTAATTTTTTAAGGTGATTGTCTATTAACCACATGGTGTCTAGTTTATTCATATGAAAGATTGTAGATTCATATATATATATATATATATATATATATATATATATAGAATAACTAAATAAGTAGTGGTTACTAAACTTAAAACTTTTAAAATTTTTTACGTTTAGGTTAGTTACGTACCTACTTTAGTTGGTAGTACTGTATG